TCTCTGAGCCTTTCAAGCCACCCCGAGGCCCAACCGCCCCAGGCGTCATCAATACCCGTGAAGATCTGGAGCCCTTGAATGCCATCACATTCTTCGACGAATGGTCGTAGATCTCTGTCAACCAGATCTACTTCCCTTTCAAGCTTCTCGAAAAGCTCCATTCCTACGTCCCAGCTCTCAAAGGGCATGAGCTTATCGTTGACGTCGAACTCCGACAGCTGAACAACGGACTTTGGATGGTAGTAGACACGGCTATAATCTGACCAATATCTGACAGACGATGTACTAAGCGGAGGAGGCTGTAGGCCGGCATCGAGGTGCTCTTGATAGGTGGATTGTGGGATAGTCTCTGTTGCGCGCTGTACAATAGGCTTCGATGGCCAGACACCGTTCTGATCCAATATGCTTCTGTCGTCTTCGGCCTCGTATAGCGCATTGATCTTTCTCATGCTACCAAAAGCACCTTTAAGATCGTATATGAGCGTCCTTGGCGTGAAAGTATCGGACCCATCTGGAGCAACACCTGGCCTAAACAGTATGTCATGATTCACAGGTGACTCTGGCTCGGGCGGGTATGTGAAGTAGGACTCCTGCGGAAATATTAGATGAGACGACAGAGCGCCAAGAGTTCGCGACTTACTTGTGTGTTCCAGAAGTGAGTGCCCAGGTAGTTGCTCTGCTTGCCGAACTGTAAAGTCACGATTTCGTGCATGGCGACGATTGAGTAGTAGTCTGTTCAAGGGAACGGATACATATACGATGCCTTGGTGTTGATGTAAGAGCGAGAGATGAGTTGACTGGCGACGGTGCAGACGGAGATAAACGGTGATTGGTGAGAACAAGCTCTGTCATTTGCCCCGCACGTGCACACGCGATGAGGAAAGAGCGATACCCCACCGCAACGTCCCAATCCACAACCTATTATCATGAGACTCGTTCTCTTTTGGCTATATCATGCCTTGGAGGTGCACACCGTGTTCCAAATTAACATAGTATAAAAAGTGTTGTGATGGTATCCTCATGGTATGCTATGGATGTTAGGTGCGATAATAAAAAGGCCATATATTGATGAATAATTCCGTAGAGTCTGCGAGGTCTACGGGGTCTGCAGAAGCCTACAGGCCGATCATTCTGGGCGCTATTGAGAGCAAATACCTCGCTGAGCTGGGTGACCATCGCCAGGAAGAGCGTAAATTACTGGCGGTGGCCAAACCTTGGAAGTTCCTGCTAATTACAGAGCGGTTCGAATGTTCAGGCACAGAACTATCAGAGAACTCATTAGCGGACATGATTAGGCGGGAAAAAGATCGGGCTTAGAGTGATTTACACATAGCCCATGCGGAGTGTACACTATGGAGGCACGCCTACCAGATATCGAAAGGCGCTCTCTCATCAATCACGAATGTGTCAAGTAGACCCATGCACATTCTCCACCCATGTTCATCATATCGTTCCCTCTTCGCTCGCCAAATCGTGCTCTCGTTATATGACCCGACACGTGGTATCGACGCTCAGCTGGAGCTTGGTATCGTGTCCCGAGTATGTCTGTGCGCTTGCAAAACGATTGTGTCCTACGGCTGCAAGTGCGGTCTGCGAGATGATCAATATCTCGGCTACATTTATGGCTCGGTCTTTAGAGGAAGCTTGGGCAATAAGCCCTCTACCGTCCACTTGACTGGCACGTAGTTGCCGAGTGTAGTCCGTGCCATGCCCTATGACAAGCCAGCAGCAACTGTGGACTACAGGAGCACCTACAGCGGCGCGTCGTTTCTCTAGCATGTGCGGAGACCAAGGTCAAGCGGCAGATGGTCTTTACAGTAGCACATGCCCTGTGGAAGAGAACAAGCCCCTCAATCACATAGCGGCATCGGCTGCTCAACGCTCCCAGCCGAAGCATCCACCCATGAGACCAGCGACATGGCTTTTTGTATGTCCCAAGACCTGTTCTAAGCGGGTTGCGCTGGCGAGCCTGCGCGGAAGTTGACATTCTGGTCCAGCTGCACTGTCGGCTGCCGAGCCGACACAAGCTTCCCGCATGTTATGCCCCATGTATGGTTGTAGACCCGCCATTGCGGTCCCTGTTATCGCAGCATGGATCTTGCGGTGTCCGCCCGATATCGCGACGTATCAGAGGCTGTGTCTTGTTCGTGACAGGTCGTTTCGACGTAGGTGTTGAGCGCGACGCGTCTTCGCGCACAGTAGACGCGAGCGAGACGCGCCATTGGTAGTCACGGCGAGCTGGAGTCTGTTCCAAAGGTCCGGCGTCCAATAGCGGGGACGGTTCGTCTGTATATCGTACGGGGGTTTGATATCCTTTGGTGGTGTGCCTGCCCGAAGTGCCAGTCTTTCGCGCTAGCGCCTACTCGTTAGCGCGACAGGTATCCCGCTCCAGGTCGTTTGCATCTCCATCACTTGTCTCGTACACGAGCACATTCAGCCTATCACAAGATCGACTTACATCTGGCATCACTGCAATGTCTCAGTATTCCTGGCGGTCAGGCCTGAACGGCTGCCTTGACGCGTCCGATGGCGCCCCCATGTCCCAATTGCCCTCTCTTGGCACTCAGATTGCCCGTCACTCATTGTTTGCAGGTGACTAAATCCAAAGTCGCGGGCACCCGTTGTTGTGATGACGAAACTCAAACTTGCGGTCACCGTGCATTCTAATTGACTCAACCTCCTGCTTCTACGTTACTCAATCCGACCCTGGCAAGCCTGATCTCTGCCACTCTCGTCCTCTGGTCTAGTCATTTCCATTCTCTGGTCCTGACGAATCGCTCACGAGTTCAGCAAGTCTTGAATTAGAATATTACAGATACAACAACTAACGTTCCCGACTCATCACTCTCATCGAAATCACTCACCCCGCATCAGGCGCCAGCCGGCACATCTCCCTTCGTACCTCGCCACAAACCGTACTATGGTCTCCGACAGCAAGCCGAGTTCCCACTTCACCGGAACAAACAACAAGGCTAACACATTCCCTGTACATCATGAGGCCTTGACAAGACTTCGCGAGGTCCTTCCCGATAATCTTTGGCCGGAGGTACGCCCAGCACTCTCAGAAGACGTATCGTTCGGCAAAGCAGAGCTTCAACACGGGAGGGTACTGGTCGGCCACGTCAACCCAGAAAAGAGCCAGGGACAGGATACTGCGGAAGAACGCGCCCTGTGGGCACATCTCTGGAAGATTGATTGCAGAGGAGGTGCTGTACTGAGCTTCTATTACAACACCCAAGAGGAGCTCCGAATCGGCGAGCCAAAGTTCCGCAAGGTCGAGTTCCAGAAATGGTGTTGCATGATCGCTACAGACCAGTCACCTGTAGGCTCTTCTGGTGGCGAGTGGGAGAGGCGTCTCAAGACGGTCGTGAAGATTGCTCTCCTTGGGGGTGGATACCTGAACCCAAAAGATTATACGTTTCCAGACCTGGCAACAATCATCAGTGTCATCAACAAGCGCAAGCCTACCCCCCAAGCCAGTTCTTCTTCAATGCGCAACGCCAACGGCAAGCGTCCGTCCGAGGGAGACTACCTAGACAGATTCATCGAACAGATCATGGAACCTGAGTCTGAGGACGACTACTTGGATGGAGACAACGAGGATGGTGCACCCCTGGCAGATTCTAGCAGTCCTGCCTACGCTCCTTCTGCAAAGAAGTCTGGTATGAAACCATCTCATATACAAGAACTACAAGAGGCATTTCCGCCTACAGTTTGGCCACGTGTCGAGAACTGCAGTGAGGACATCGGCAAAATTTACCCTGGAAAAGTCTACCTAGGATTTTTGCCATCTGCAAAATCGCCCAGTGGCTCACCAAAGGAGGTGTGGGCGAGGGTCAAAGGCAAAGCGTCCGCCAAAGGAGAAGCGTCTGCCAAAAGGTCTGGACACATTCTGTGCTACTGGAACGACGGCCGAAAGGCAAACTTGAGGGATGAAGATCTCGTTAGTAAGATAGATTTCGACAAGCCTTTTCGATATCTTGGACACCCTGAAGCACGCGAGAAGAAGAAAGAAATACGCGATCCCTGGCGGGCTTCGGTAGCCGTTTGTGTACGGGCAGCGCTCGTCCACGCGGGAATGATTGACGGAGACGAGCTCTCAATTCAGACCAAAGCACCACGAGCCGCCGAGATCATTCGCCAAAACCGGAACAGACTTGACACCAGCACCGCAAGATCCGCTGACGTAGAAGCCTCGGACGATATCAATGCTTCATCCAGCATTGATGTTATTTCCAGTTCTCCAAGCATCCCGGTTGCAGACATGAGGCCCAAAAAGCGTCGTATGGCCTCTGATCACGAAGCTGGTGAAGATGCTAGAGATTCAGTCTCGTTGGCTACCACACCAGCTCCGAGAGGATTTTCGACCGTAAGCTCGGTAAGTCACTAAACAACTCCTCATACCTTTCTAACTCTCGATCAGATATCGCCGTCGATACAGTTTCTTAGGAGGGCTCGTGAGACTGGGCCAGGATCTCTATCCTACGAGCTTGCCGCTTCCAAGAAGAGATGTGCGACTCTCGAAGCCGATGCCGAGCGACAGAAGACAGAGAACGAACAGCTTCAAGAACTATGCAAAGAGAAGACTGTTGGCGCCGTGACTCTGCGAAGTGAGTTAGCCGTCGCCCGTGAGAAGATAGCAAAACTCGAGCGAGACGGCGTGGAGCTACAAGCGGAAATGGGCAGTCTCAGGAAGTTGAGACAAGCGCATGTAAAACATGCTCAGCCCATTCTACTCGAAGTCATGGCTTTCGACATTGGTGATCAAGATGGAACCGATCCAGAAACGGCAAGCCGAGACGCTAAGAGCCAGTACGTCGAGACTTACGGTATCGAAGTTGAAGGTGGAGCGTTGAGCGATATGGCTTGAGTGTGTCGGGAATTTCCGATAACTCAGCGATCTTGATGCAGCTGCTCTCATTTGGTTCTTGCTTACTATGCGCAAAAGTTGTGATCCTTGGAAGCGCTTCGGCTGTTAGTTAGGCTCTATGTGCCTATACATGACACGGCCGATGCTATGTACACGCAAGATCTGGTTTGCTAGGATCAGCACGTGCGTACGTGTTGCGCTCATCGACGCTGGACTCCAAGACGACGAGGGCTTTCAGACTCGAGTAGACGCACGGCCTAAAGAGCTGGCGGCAGTGATCAAGAAGGCGTGGGCGCGACTACGACGGACACTCCAGGCAGGTGGGCGGGAAGAGGCTTTGCCGACGCGATACCGCCAGTACCGTACAGCGAACGCTTCTGCTGTAGGCGCTATAGCACATGGCCAAACACAAGCGCCTACCGTCACCCAACCCAGGGACGACGATCAGCAAGCAGATTCGCCCCCGGAAGACCTCATCCAAGACCTTATCGAGATATCTGAAGACGAAGACGACATCATGGAATCGGGCTACCAACTTCGCGCATCCAGCCCATGGCCCACTTTCCCGAAACGCGAGCTCTTCACCCCAGCGCCCACCTCCTCCGCTATGAACAAAAAGCAAAAGATCGCTCCGTCTAACCGTACCTCTCTGCTCGACTTCATCGACCTGACTACTGCCATCGACACCCCGGATACTGCTGCGCTCGAAGAACAGGTCCGCACATTGACTGAAGCCAAGATATCCCTGGAAAACACTGTTGGTGATATGAAAGCACAGCTGGACGATTACGAGAAGAAGAATCGAGAGTTGCAGGTGTTCAAGGCTAAGCATGTTGAGCACTGTCAAGCTGTGATGATCAAGTTGCTGACGCAGAGGAATGTGCGGAATGGAAGTAGCGAGGTGGATGCGGAGAGAGATGCGAAGACGGAGTATACTCAGGTCTATGGTATTGCTATTGTGGAGGACATTGGAGAAGATTGAGAAGGGGACTGTTGACTGTGTGGATGTAAAGAGTTTGGATTGTCGTCATGGGGAGGTAATGTTTTGGTCACAGAGGTGTAGTGAGTTGGTAATTCTTTACAGGGATCTCCGCTCAAAACCCACCAAGACCATCGTCGCTGTCTTCGTAGTCATAAGACCAGTTATGATCAGCTTCTCTCTCCACCCGCTCTTCTTTACTATCCGTCAACTCCTTCCACTCCCGTTCCTCCACAGCTTTCCCCAGCCCAATAGACAACTGCAAATCCTCGTCTTCACCATCAAGCGCATGGTAGCTCCATACATAGTCCACATCCGAAATACAATGTGGTTCATTCACAGCGCCAATGCGGCATTTTACCTTCAGTAGCTCGACTGCGACGACCGAACCTTCTTCGCCAGGGGAGGCCATGTTGGATGCCGAGTCTATCCGGCGGAAGGGTAGTTGGACTTGTTGTGTTTGCGGGGTTTCCGTAGCCTCGGTTATGGGCTCGTGTGACACAGTCGCACGCTTGTGGCTTGGGAATTTGGAAGTTTGGAGGCCGGTGACGAAGTAGATGGGCGCGTTTTGTTGCGATAGCTTGCGGAGGGAGTCTTGTGTGCTGGTGTCGTTGCGTAAGGTGTCGAAGAGTTGTGACGGGTCGGTCAGGGTAAGTTGAGCTGTGAGCTCTGCGTCTTCTTTTTTCGAAGAGGCTGCCTTTCGTATGTATTCTGAAGGTATTGAGGGCTTGATGGAGTCGGAAGGAGCGCTTAAAGGATTGGTAGTGATTTGCCCGAGGGCGATGGATGTTGATGGCAGTGGTTCTGGAAGATGTAGAATCGACATGTTTGGAAAAGATCTGTATTGAAATTTGCCGTTAAACTGGGTATCTTGTGTTACGGAAAGAAATGTTGCTGAGACTAAGATGGGGAGATGCAGGACATTCAAGTATGAGAGCTGGCTAGGACCAGCGGTGAAGTTATATTGCGACGATGTGGACTTGGCCCAGTCTTCAATCGCACCATGACATAACTGCTGATGCTGTTGCGTTAGCATAACGTCTCTGCGCTTGATGCTAGTTCAGTGTGACGTCTGTCATTCGTTGTCGCCCTGTTGTCGGTCGTACGGGAAGGGATGATCATTCGGCGCGAGAGTATAGCTCGGCTAACAAAGGGCTATGAGGCCCAGTCTTTACTCCACCAAGGGTTAAGTTACTCCATTGGCGAACAAAGCCCGCAAACTTGCGATTGCGTTACTAAGACGCAGCCGGGGTGGTCTGATGGAGATCGGCTGACTTGTTCCTGAGTGCGATCCGACCTCGGGCTCGGAAGGCTAGATTGCATGCATCAGCGGGAGGACGCGGAGCCGCATGCTAGGATTTTTCATAGATTTTGGAAGATCGTTTCGCGAGGAGCTGCATAGCCATTGAACTTTTCGTGAAGAGATACCACACGGAGCCTAATATGCCGTGGGTATCTCGTAAGGTGAGAGAGTCCACATCTGGCGTGCAACCTTCCGGAACCAGAAGAACAACAGCTATCGCACTGGCAAAAGCGCTCGCGTACCAATATACAACGATAACAAAGGATAGAGATAGAGATTGCTGATAACGAAAGTGTGCTATAGTGAGCCGCTGCCTCGGGATGGTTTGCAAAGGATGAGGGGTGATTCGTCATGTGAAGAGCTGACTAAGGACGAAACGTGGCGTCGTGGCGCGTGGGCGTGGGCTGGCGTGACGCGATCGACATGACACGCTCTTGGACGTGACATTTGCCCTTGGTAATATATGCGTCGCGCTTGCCGTCATTGCACCGTTGTCGCCTACAATAGACCGTCGCTCGTCCGTCCTTGATATCGAGATGAAGCTGGGTCGGATGACTGGGATGGTCGGCCATGAATGTCGCTGCTTTCGGCAGCGGGCGGAAAGCTGACACTGCCACACTGCGGGAGGAGCATGTACCGTAAACATGACAACGCCAACTTTCGGGCCACTTTTGCAGCCCATACACCTACCAATTCCTACGGCTAGCCTGCCATGGCAGAGACATCCATAGCCCCTACCCACCACCAGCGTCGCCAGAGTGCCCTCGCCGACATACAATTCGCCTCTATCGTCGACGATGACCTCACACCCTCCGAAGACGAGTCGCCGGAGGAAAGCGCGTTCGGGCTCGAAACAGCACAGTCAGCAATTGGAGTCAGCATAGGAAAGCAGCAGACGCGTCTGACTTCGCCGAAAACGCCGGCTGCGGAAAAGGCTGCTGCCCTAGAGGACACGGAAGACGGAGCCTTTTTCGAGGGCTGGCAGGAAGCTACCGATGCCACACCGGAACTGAGAAAGACGACACCGCGTCCAGAACCGAGCAAAGATGTTCAGAGAGCTGACGTGAGGCCGAAACCCACGCACACATCGAGCAATGACGACCGCGAGCGGCAATCCGACCCGCAAACGCGACTTCCTTCACCATGGCGAGCAGGACCGAAGACATTCCACAAGGAGAAGGCGGGCGACCATCGAGCTACACTCCGCGAACACCTACAGATTGGAAGACGGCGGGCATCCTCGAGCGGCTCCATGGGGGACACGATGCGCAAATACATGCCCTTCACCCTGCCCACGTCTATCACCAAATCCTACAAAGACATGCACTTTTCGCTCCCGAGCCTGTCAGCACTTTCGCTCGACACCGAAAAGCCACGCACCTCTGACAGGCGGAGGAGAGATACCTTCGCCAGCAGTGGACCAGCCCGAGACATACCACAGCAGGATGGCGCCAGCCATTCCACACCCAAAGAGTCGAGGAGCGCATCGAGGAGCCTCGTACAGGTGTCACAGCAACCTCATACCGCTCCGATACCCCAGCGCGAATTCAGCGACGAGAGCACCGACACCCTTCAACCGTCCCCTAAGATATCGAGCGACCGACCGGCGCCTAAGTTAAGGCGGTCCAATTCCGAGGGCTCTTTGCTCGTATATCGCACAAGGTCTTTTGCGTCTTCGCTCGGCGACGACACGCGCTTCGAGAGTGTCCAAGAGCAGGTCAACAGTAGGCTGAAGGCCCTCAGAGACAGCTGGCAAGACTCGAATTTCAAGTTGCCAAGCCCTTCGTTCCCAAACTTCAACCTATCGTCCAGCAGCGAAATATTCAAAACCCGCAATGCCAGTATAGCGTCTAGACTCCGCGAGACCGACAATATCCGCGCAAACGAGCCTGCACCGGCAGCACGTCGCGACTCGACAAGGAAGAAGCGCCTACCGTCAAAGGGTGGGGACAGCGACTTTGAGCCGCATCCATATTTCACACAGGCTCTGCAAGAGCTTGAAGGGGACTTGGTCGTGCTGGGAGGCTATCGAGGTTCCATCTTGCGCTCAGCAGAACCGCCCCATCGACAGCTCTGGGTGCCCATAAAAGTCGGGTTGAACCTACGTAAGGTAGACTTGGAGGTACCTTTGGACCCAGATGCGGATGAGCGCATGGAGGAGAGCATTATACCCAGCGGCATGCTGACCCATATTGGCCCCGTCGATATAGCCAAGCGCCTGTTCAAGCGTCTGAATGCATGCGATAACGTCAAGGATGGCAAACTCAGGGTCCACAACTACGGTTACGACTGGCGGCTCTCTCCGCACTTCCTCAGTCGACGGATGATACAATTCTTAGAGTCGCTGCCCTGTAATCAGCCAGGCGTCCCCCCAGAAAAGCGTGGCGCCGTTATCGTCGCACACTCATTAGGCGGCTTGATCACGCGTCATGCTATCAATCAGCGTCCCGATCTAGTAGCCGGTGTTGTATATGCCGGTGTGCCTCAACGCTGCGTGAATATCCTCGGTCCATTCCGCAACGGCGACGATGTTCTCTTCTCCTCACGCGTGCTCACGGCACAAGTAAACTTTAGCATTCGAACATCATACGCTCTCCTACCCCTCGACGGAAAGTGCTTCATCAACAAGCGCACGAAAGAAGAGTATCCTGTAGACTTCTTCGACGTCAATACCTGGAAAGAACACCGCCTCTCTCCATGCATAGCAGCACCTCTGCCCCGCCCCGAACAGCCCAAAGACAGCAACTTCAGTGTTAGTGGCCTGATGAACGCCGTCTCCTCATCACTCCCAACCTTCTCCACTCGCAAAAGCAGCACCGCGAAAGACGCAGCCGACGTAGCTCGTAACGCCGCGAACAATGTCACAGAAGGAAGCGCCGAACAAGCAGGCATGGGACCCCAGATGGGCCACGAACACAACATCGAGACCTCTAAAGAGCCGAACCCCGCAACCGATGTCACGATCCCTTACGACAAAGCCGTGGAGTATCTTGCGCGAACCCTCGCTGAAGTCAAAGCCTTTAAACAAGAACTCGACCACCGCCCTGAACACACGACGTCGAACGCATACCCACCCATCGCACTCATCTACGGCAAGTCCACACCGACGGTATATGGCGCAAAGGTAGAGAGTAAAGAAGCCATCAAACGTGCAGACGTGTACGACGAGCTTGCATTCGCGAGCGGTGACGGTGTGGTGCTCGCTCGTGCGGCTATGGTGCCTACTGGGTATAGTGTAGTTCGCGGCGGTGTCGTCTCGAGCGACCGCGGTCACGTCACGCTTCTGGGTGATTTGGAGGCTGTGGGGCGGTGTCTTTGTGCTGTTATCCATGCGAGGAGGAACGGCGTTGGGATGGGGGCTGGGGCGCGGTGAGATTATAGAGGCGCCTACACATTTCTACCTAGAGTCAATGAGATTAGATCAAGTTCATGGACATGATGCTTCGTTTCTTGTTATTTGTGGATTTGTACTCGTACTTCGATGCAATATCTCTGTGCTATGTAAAGGCAGCAGTCTTCTTGAGCAAAGTGTATGATCCTCCCGCCAGAATCCTCAACAGCCCTGACAAAACCACACGCCTCTCAGCCATCATCACACAATCTCGTCGCAGCAAACAACAAAACCGCGCTGGTGTTCGCCAAGCCATCTGCCCTTCTCCAACAGTCGCGTTCCTCGTATGTCTTCATCGGCACTTCTCTCGGCACTACCCCCTCGTACAAAGGTTCGCTGGGCGTCGCGATCTGCGAGTGAACGGTGGAGCGGAGCGGAAGGCGGCTACAGGCGATGCGACGCGACGGACGGTACGGGCGGGCCATCGTGTGCGCGGCGTTGTTGGGTTCGAGTTCGTAACGAAGTCATGTTTTGGTAGTAGGTGCACGTACCTAACTGGCTTTGTTACGCCCTTGATGTAACATCGTCTCGTGGTCTTTGCGCTGGGGTCTTGACTAGGAGTCTTGACTAGGACGTGTAGATGGTTCGGGGATCGTGGAGGGTTCGCAATGGTGTTGCTTTTTGTTAACTGCTGAAAACTTGGGAAGACCTGGAATGTACATCTTTTTTGAACGGGAATGAGCGTTCGAGAGCTTCTGAGTGGAGAAGAGATGGAAAGGCATCGCAAACAGATGTTTACTTGAGGACTTCGATTTCTCTTGATGATGCTGACGTCAATCGCGCCAGTCTTGCCGTGTTCAATGACCAAGCTGATGATTTCAAACCAACTCAAGAAAGACGTGGTGGGAATTCCAAATCTATGACCTTCGACTGAAGGGTTCCCCCATGTTGGGGTTCCGCAGTAAATCGCTCAGTTCCAAGGCCGATACCATTCTGGGCTCATGCACTTAAGGAAAAAGCAGAGCTGGTTGATGCAAGTTGCTATAGTGCTGCGATTGACCATGAGTCACAGAGGATTGCTGCACTCGAATCGAGTCAAGGAGTACATGTGTAGTTAGTAAAGGGGGATGTTGATCATATTGCTCAGCTCGATCGAGATGTGCTGAGCCACACACATCGCCATTCAGCACCTCGTGCGAGACACTAGACTTCTCTGTAATGGCATCGCGTCTTCCCAACCACGGCATGGACGACTCGATATTCGAGAGCACTCTATCGTGACGAAGTTCTGCAGTCTGGTACATCGGCCATGTCATGTAGCACTAACTGATCCCTATAGGCTGCGCTTAGAGTGTCAAGTCAAAATCTACCCTGGAAACGCGCATGCCGCGTGACGGAATGCGAACAGAAAGATCAGCCGGTGGGAACAGTTCCGGTGGTGCGCACAGCCAGATCCATGGATTGTTGCGTGCGAAGAGGTCCTTTCCGTTTGAGGCTAGTGTGCTTGGCATTGCCCGTTAGGCCATCTGGTACCGTACCCCAGCCTTCCGCTAATCTCGCTCGGAGCCTCCGTCTTCCCCATCATCGCGATCACGTCGCCAATCGCTCTATCTACCCCATCTGGATCAATTAGCAGCAACAGCTCCTACTGAGATCGATTTCAACCAACTCAGGTTCGCTGCAGCGAAGCGAGATTTCGGCCTCATATTCGTCACGAAGTCGCGATCCTTCATTTAAGCGCGCGTATGCAGCTCTGACCATCACGTCACATCATCAACCAATCCTGGACTGTCACGCGATGATGTGCAGCGGGGATAAAACTGTCTCGTCGGGGATGCGGTAACAGACAGTGCACTCTTTAGCATTCCGCACTGGTATCAATGCGGGGGTAAGGAGCTCGTGGCTTCGGTCGCGTCTGACGGCTGGGGGCCAGCCTCCAAAACTTCGCTTTGCCTTGTTTCTTCAAGACGAGTCATGATCAGATGCTGACAAGCCATCCATGTAGTCATACGGCACATCCGAATTCTTGGGAATCGTCTCAGATGCGCAGGTGTATACACGCTAGAGTACGGAGTTATTCCGAAAGGACTCTGTACCCCTCCGATATCACAGCACCACGCGTCATTTCTTGCTGGTACCGATACACTGCTAGTTTCTCGTGCTCAGCTACTGCTCGATCGACCAAGGAAAGTCACTCCTTAACAAGTTCATCTCACTGCTGCTGCTCATCGCCTATTCGATGGACAACCAGCCCTGACAACAATCTGTCCTGTCGTCGATTGACATCTAGGCTTAATTCGTGTGGGAAGAGCCTCTCAGGCGCACAAATTCAGCACGCCTCGCAGGGGATGGCTCAACATGGCCCTACCACAACGGAATCCTTCTGTCGATGCATTCCCCTCGAATAATTCCCGTTAGCGTCAACGGAGATATCGTCTTATCGTTCTTGCTGAAAGCGGAAGGTGGAGAGTGCAGTCAAACGCTCGCAACAAATCTAGAGCAGCCCACACACGTGATGGGCCGGTTCATGCGTGGCGTCGACTGGCCAGTGACGAAGCTACCGCTTCTCGCGAGTGTCAATACACGAGCCGCGCTCCTGTTGAATGCCGTCAGATCAAACACTTGTGAGTGGCGGAGGACGCATGATCGTCTCGAATAATCGACCACTCAAGCTGGTCAACTCACCGTCACGTCCAGGGTAGGGGCCTTCGGCTGACGATTCAGAAAGCTAACCTTAGTCTACCTGCGGCACGCGCTTCCCCCGCGGCTGCTCAGACCAATTCTTTGCATTCGCTCGAAATTGCTATCTTGGTACTGGGTCCTTCGATACGACACTTGGGGCCGGATGTCATCCAAGCCCAAAGACCCACTGCTCCCGCTTTTACAGTCTTTGTAGTTTGGTCCGCTACCCAAACTCTAGGCCACAAGTTGACAAGTTGTGGTATCCATGTACACAATCTAGCTGAATCTGGCTGGTTCATTTCGCACACAACGTACGTCGATAACCTCGACTCCCTGTCGTGGCCCAAGGAACAGGCGGCCAATACGCCGCTCAGTTGGGCTTCCGCGACTGAAGATGAGATCAAGCTGGGGTTGTAAAGTGTCGATCAGCTGCTGACTCGAAACGATCTCCGCTACGATGATGGAGCCCCCAAACTGTGCCGCATTGCAGCTCGTATCGCATCGTCACCTTATGCAAGATTGCAGTGATTCCTTTCAGGTCAGAACTACGGTGGAGACATGTATCTCACGAACTGCTTCTCATGGGACTGCCAGGTTGTACCTCATAACGATCCAAAATATAGGATCATTCACGTTGACTCTGCAGGTTTCCAACTCGAACTGGGCAAACATTCTAACACGAGCGCTTATGGCACAGCGGCTACTGCTCAACTCAGTACAGACAGTTACATCTCCACACCCTTTGGGATTCAACATATTTCAGGTCACGACCAGGATTTAATCATAGTACGGCGCGTTTGTGAGATGCCAACTAGCTCGAGAGATGTAGAGGACCAGACACTCCCACGTTGACCACTGCCGCCAGCTATCGTGGTGAGAATTGGTTCTAACATCATCTAGAATAGGTGGAGTTGCAAATAGTATGTGTGGCTGTAGCATACGCCTTTGAAACAAGTTCGCCGCAGCATCAAAGAGCTTGGGTTGAGCACGGCCTCCAATGCAGGAAGCCCAGGTTCGTCTACCCCAATTGGTAAGCGACGGTAGGTCCCTGCAGCAGCGACCAGTAACCAGCTGTCAAACCCAACACTTCTATCTTCGTCACAGGCGTGCGTCTTCTGCATTCCTAAGGACTCACCACGGTTAGCTGTATACAACATCCGCACTCTGGGCGCTCGAACCATCTTTGCCACACGTCAAAGCACGTATCTGACGCTGCCCCACGCTAAATAACGGTTGAGCAAAAGCCACCAGGCGAGCGCACCACACCCACATCGAGACCCTGATCGGATGGATCTTCGTGGCCAACTGAAAGCTTAGCCCCTGCTGCTTGCTGTACACATTTGAAAGGGTGCCTACCAACCACCATCTTAGAAGCGTGCGTCTGTCGGATGGGGCCTTATTCAGGATATTGGAACTCGATGAAGAGCAACTATCAAGAAAAACATGAGGCACTTTGCGACTAGGATACATGCCTGCAAAACTTCGGTCGTCTAACAAAGCCCGAAGCGTTCAAGACTCAAGTGCTCGACTACGCCGTACACTAGCTCGTCTACCCATGCTAGCTCGAGCCGTTGTTCGTTCGCGGTCAGGCTGTGCACGCACGCAGCGGCATGCTGGCATCGAGTACGCCAAGTCGCTCAGGTACCATCCTGCTGGGTCTGTCGTTTTCACCGATCGTTAGCATTCCTTTCTCTGCTGAACCCTATGAACCACTCCTCGGAGCCTGTGGCATGGTTGAGCGCTCGCTATTGCATCTGATCTATATTATATTGGCGCGGTCCTGCCAGTGTAACAATCAACCTCAGGTCTCACATCCACCAAGCACTCTACCATACTCTTGTCTTTATACGACTCTCACATTGTTCATTGCATATTCATATTCTACCTACACAGTATGTCTATGTACTCGACACCTGTGAGCATCACTGACTGAGCATTAGTCTTACCACGCCATCATGGAGCAACGACGTGTCCAGTCCTTCACTTCGAGCCCTTACCAATACGTGGTGGACTATCCTGGATCGCAGGATCTCTCCCGATGTGATTCGCATGAGCCTATCCCCATGAAGCATGGTAACGGATCGTACGATGAACGGATGTCTTTCCACCACCTTGCTCGCGAGACATCAACTACGCGATCATTGAGCGCTCCGATAGACGCCTTCGATCCATGGCTACTCGAGGGACCAGGCTGTGGCAGTCCAATGTCCACAAGTTCTTCGATAAGCCACAACGAGAGCCTTCCCACGCCACCTTACACCGGCATGCCAATGTACGATAACGTCGAAAGCCCGGCATTCCATCATGTTCGCTCTCCAGTCAACCACGAAGCCTGGGCAGCAGAACCAGAACATGTCTGGAGACCGAGTTACCCTGACCTTCCCACATGGGGCTCGCAACAGTTTTCGTTGCCTTACCACGGTGGTCCAGCCTGCGATCAGATGTCACTGCAACCGGTTCAGCAATACGTCCCTCACTCTGGTCCTTCAGTAGCCCCGGCATACATTCCCTACCACGCGCCAGCTCCCTTTACTACTGCCAGGGTTGCTAACCCAGGGCCCTTGAAGAAGGAACTGCCTAGTGACGCTGGGCACAGTGACAAGGAAAGCGACTCAGAATCCGAAGACTCTGAGAGCGATGATGAAGCCTCGTTGCACGGTTCGTCATACTCGTCCTCCCGGCGGTCTGGAGCGAATGCCAACGTCATGAAGCTCGGAAAATGGGGCGAGAATCCTGCTTCGTATCCCCTCCATCACACGCTTGACGTAAGGCACTGGCAATGTCCTCTAGACGACAAGGACCATCCTGGAGTCCCATGCCCAAAAAGATTCCAACGACCGGAACACCTTCGACGCCACGTCAGGACTGTCCATGGCAATGACAGGTGCCACTTCTGCAAAGTGTGTCCCAAGACCTTCTCTAGGGGTGACAACCTTCGTGATCACTACTGGACGCACGTGAACCGTGGAGGCAGAGCAGGGAAGAACAACAAGATGAGCATTCCTGAGTTGAAGGCAATTCTCGGTCCCAAGGAGCGGCCGCTCATCAGACGTCTCAAGATGAAACTGAACCTGCTGAAGGAAAGGAACATGAGAGCGAAGCTTTGATTGAAAGTAGTGCGCTTCATGTCACTGCTGATGATGTTTACATGATTTCTTCTTCTTATTTTACATTACTTTTTGAGGGTACCTGGCGCTGGGGAGGCAAGTCATCATCGTGCTTCGGCATGCTTCTGTACCATTTCTTCTAATTCTCCACTGTTCATAGATCTCTTTAGCGCGCATAGCTGTATGAATGACTATAAAATCTTAATGAACACCTTGCTGTCTTGTCGCAATCTTGACCCTCCTAGGTGACACCTGAAAGGCCAGAAACAGAGTTTTCGACACGCCCACCTAATGACCAGTTGAACAGCGCCTCATGAGGCGTTTCGCTTAACATTACTCGTTATCCGGCCCCCAACACCGAGGATGGATTTCAGCGTCTTTCGTTGCGCCTAGCGAGTCGTCCCAGCATGGCAATCATCGACGACTTGCGACAGCTTGGTCCGACTACACGCTAATGCATCATTCTGAACTGATTCGTCGATCGAACATGCATGGAAGGAATAAACATCGGTCAGAAGATCACATACAGCCAATCATATTTATTCGCAGAAAAAGATTGGGGGCACCCTCACCGATTACACACAGCCCCGAGGACAGGGAGAGGCGATATGCAGGTGCTTGTCAGCGGAAAACGCCCGGTTCGTTAGATTCCGTGGAGAGGAGAGACGTGCGGTTTTAGCTAGCTCTCTGACTTGCCGGATAGATGAGCACACTGCATGGCAGCAGGGTTGTACCCTGTGAGGGATGCCTAGGTAAGCTGTCAATGCTCTGGCGAAAGCAGGAGTGAACTTCCAGGAAGACAAGTTCCCGCGCACTGACCACGATCGAAGGATGATCTTTGACTGAAGGTGTCCTGTACGCTGTATGTGGACGTTAGTGTCGTACCATTTACGATTCCAGATGCGATCTTACGATGGAGGAATACCAATCCAGATTGCAGGTCCTTCACCGATACTTTTCTCCCCGCATCTGGCAAAGCGAGATTGTAATCGCTGAAAGTCTGCATCTCCCCAACCTCAACCTCGAGAATGCGTTGAGATTGGGAATGCATGCTCACCGGAACAACATCATTGGATCGACCAGCATAATCGCGGTGAAAGAAAAGACACTGGTCTGCCATTGCGGTTCGTGCGCCGCTCGAATCGACGTATGGGAAGGCATATCAGTTTTCCGCGCGCCGCAGCGCTTAGAGGAGCCAACGAGAGTGCGGCACAGCAAGCCACAACCCGGCGCAGCACCCCTTCTCAGATTAGAATCTGCAATTCACCCGCATTAACCGCCTAGTCTGAGGGCTCACTCATGCACGCAGAGTAGTCTCGTACGAAAGTAGGGCCTCGCACAGTTGTTGTAGGAGTAGGATGCATTTGTAGTAGAGAATGACAGGGTATCTACTCCAACGGCGACGTCACTGGCGCTGTAGTCGCATGTCTATACGTGGAGCTCGTGGTGGACATCTTGGAGAAATATGGGCTGCGAAGACTGCAAGAACGCAGCTAGATAGGATCAGTCTGGTGTGAGAAGGGGTAAGAGCGCCTCTGGGCCACACCATGATACACTGTAGGAGGAACAAAGGATTGCATCTACTTCTGGTAACCCACGAAACGCTTTGTCCAGACATGTTTGCTGACATGAAAACAGTAAAATGACATATTATAGACGCGAAAGATCAAGTAAGAACCATGACACCCAACACGTCCCTCACACCCCCAAAAAAGACCCCAACAACGAGCCCATCCTGATGTAGAACAACTTTGCCGTAGACGTACAGTTTCTGTTGAGAAGACGTCCGAAAGCGTCTAAAATATGGGCAGCTCACCTATATCGCCTTCCAAATCCGAACTGACCGCGCTTCTGCGCTACCTGCTGGCAGATGACCCACTACCCCACCCTCGAGACTGGCCTTACATATTACAACAGAGAGTTTTAGTGATGGGCTGTTCATCGTTCGACACAACACCCGCTTCACCGTTCGGCCCGGGGCTAGATAGGACACTGCCGACCCTTTGAGTTGAGGCAGGTACCGACCGTAGCTTCAACTCATCATTGCCCTTGCATACGATGGCTTCAATCAGTATGCGGGCTTTCTGGATGAGGTTTGAACACCATCAGAATGATGGTTGGGCACGCGCGCATCTCCAATTTTCCACTGAGCCCCAGACTTGCGCTGAGCATGATGCAGCAAGGCCCAAGCTCTTGCATGATTCGAATCGAGATATGATCGAATCGAACGCATCACACCAATCTTGACTGGCTGCGTAAGTCTGTGCCCCGCCCAAGTCCAAGGCCTCCAGGTAGAAGGCAGCATCTGCACATGAAGCCTCTGTACATGGGTCGACTTGCTACACACCACTAGCTTGTGCTGTATTGGCGATCAGTACCTCGCGCGACATGCGGTGTAGATTTCGTGTCGCACCTTCATTGAGCCATGATGACTTTCTTCGATGCATCCTGCAACATCATCATCCAACTCCCCGCTAGCGATAGCTTCCGCTGTGATTGCCGGGATTGCCGCGCACCCGTTTCGTCACGCCTTCGTAGACAGCGTTTACCCCTCAACGAGGTAACGATCCTGCGCTCTTCCTTCGCCTCTAGCGTGTAGTACGGATCGTCTGATCAACATCTCCTCGCTTGCAGGAAAGCGGTCGATAGACGCATCACTGACGAAAGGACAAAGCCCTTGCGTAGACGTTTGCAAAGACGTTCCATGCTACGCATGCAGGCGGGCAGTCGACCGTTCAGCGGCCCGAGCAGAGTTGGTGGAGGAATGCCGGTAGTGGCTGCCAGTCGTAGTGGTCGATTCAGCCGTGTGGTCTTCCAGACCTTCCAGCTTATCAACGCTAGGAAGTGGACTGTGCGACTCCAAGTTTCCAGCCTTCTAGAACAATGATGTCTGCTAAGCTGTGAATTGGAGCTTAACAATAGAACCAACAGTTACTTGGAGGTGCGATGACGTTCACTGTCCCTTGATGCTGCAGTGGATGGCTCATGTGTGTATGGGCGGGCGTGCATGCGACACCGCCTGCTTCGCCTCCACACCTCCTCGTCCTCAATCGTAAGGTCCAACACACCACCTCAGCTTGCAGCACGCCAACAGTGCTATTCTTATCGTCCCATGACAAGCAGTGTGATACAATACATTGAGATGATGTTGATGGAGGTGGAAATGATCATGAACTGGGAGACATTTCTTGGATACTGAAGGACGTTTGCGTGCCGGCGGGTAGTCCAGTCATCGGTATGGTCTGTTATGTGCCGCTTTCCGACATGAGAGTGGTGTGTGATCGAGCGATAGATTTGGGCGCATCAGCATTACGATGATTTGCTGCATTTACATCTCAACGAAGACGTGTGTCTGGTGCTTCGCCAAGCAGGAACAAATAGTAGAGACCAACAGCCTCCAGTAAAATTCCTCAGCTAATGAGGAACTCTGTGTCCGTGTAGTGTGCTTTGTCTCTCAGAAACTCCCCACCCATGATCCCGTCTACATAACCGGCGTCGACAATCACATGTGTTCCGTCAGCTTGGGGCCTCAGAATGAGTGGCAAAGCGCAACCAAATAAGATACAAACGACATCACCATGCTGAAGCTCCCGCACAGCCGAGCCGGCGTATCCATTCGTGGTCGTAAAAAGACACCACTGGCGTGTTTCGCTGTTGCTCAGATCTCGTATGATGTTCCGAAATACGGCCCTCGCGAGTTTGGCATTCGTTTCGTTACCGCCTTCCTCACTCTCATGCTGTGATCGTAGTAATCGCCATGCATCAAGTGTTGAGTAGCTTTGCAGGAGTTCAAATTCATCCACGAAACCAAGAGGCTTCAGGTCTCGACAATTGCTCTTGTAATAGTTTATGTCCGCGCCATTCAAGAAGGTTCGCCAAACATCTCCCGCACGTATCTTCTTGTCCACAATCTCAGGAGCAAGACGCCTCGTCCATGCTTCTCTCGTAGTAGCAGTGAATCTCTCCATGATTTCCAAGAGCCACGGCACGAATGGGTCAAGGTATGGAGGATACAGGGGGCCGTATTCGATCCAAGGGTCGGTAATAGATTCAGCTAAAGGTTCAGAAAAGAGCGATTCGGCTATTTCAATCGATCCAATGACTGTTCCAGTGAGTTTAATGATACTTTTTCTAACATCATGTTGGATCTGACAGTACTTTCGCCCTGTAGTAGCACCTTCGTGTTCTATGCTATAGCGGTATCGTAGAAAGTCGCTGTCCCCGCGGAGAAGCTCCACATCTGCAGTGAAGTCATGCCCCCAGGAAGGGCGGCCGATGTAGCTCGAGTACGTGTGTGCTAGTACAATGTACATGAGGAAACGTAGATCTTGTCGCTGTTTGATGACAGTGGTCACGGCCGTCTGGAATGCCCATGAGATTGACTGCGAATAGTCTGGTTCGAAAGGCTCGAAAAATGGCTTCTCTACAAGACCAAGGAGAGCATAGATATGATCTCGAGGATCGCACGCGTTCCTCTGTTGAGATGCATAGATAAGGTCTTCCAAAGGGATCGTTTTGGTGGTCTGATAGACTCGATATACACGGGCGAAGTCCAAGTATGGGTAAGTCCCGGCATTTTTCGTATATCCGGAAATCCTCGAAGACGTTATGTACTCTATAATGTCGACAAAAAGAGTCCATGAAGCCTGGTTATGTCCACATATCAAGAGCGAGTCGTTGTTTGCTACAACGCCTTCTTGAACGGTCCAAACGCGGCTCCACCATGGACATCGAGTAAGGACTCCAACTTTCGCCCAAATGTGGTGAGCTTCCTTGAAGTTGATAGAACGATCGAACCCGTTCTGTGCAAGAAGCTTCAGTTCGTTTATAGCTATCCCTTTTTCGATGTCTTCTTCACCTAACCAGATGAGCACCCTTGACGCGGATGAGTATATCCGGCGCATCTTTCGAACTTCGCGAGACTTATCCTCAGGGCTATCTTGGTTGATGCACACAGCATCTATCCACAGATCTCGTGACCGGTTTGCGTATCGTAGGTA